ACATTACAGCAAAGCTTTTATCGCGAATCAATAATCCAGAAAATTGTATGGCGAAGTCATTATAGCTAAATCCAAATCGCGAAGATATTATCGCGATAATTGCTAATAGTTACTATTTTATTTTAAAACATTTATTTTTTTAAAAACCAAATAAATTAACTAATATTTTAATTAATTGATAAATCGATTCAATGAAAATAGAGTTTTTTATTTTTTTAACCTTAATAAATTTATATAATGATTATTGAGTTTAGAATTGGTTTATTATATACCCTATCTATGCTTCCTCGTGACCTGTCGAGGACTTAAAGTGATAAAATGTTAAAGGCTCGTTAAAATAATCATCCATACCTACTCTATATCCTCTCAATATTTTAGTAATGCATTTAAGCCACCATCTCCTTCAACTAGTTCATCCTTAGTGGGACATGGAGAATTTCTTAACAGTATTATGGCCATTCAACCTTTTTCTTAATTTTATCTTTTCAAATACTATGTTTAATTAACAAAGTGGGGTGTTTATATTTAAATAAGAGCTTCCTTTATTTTATCAGGTAATATTTTTTTAAAGAAGGCAAAAGCTTTTTAATATAAAATATGAAAATTTGCATTTAAATGAAGAAATCGAATCGATATAAAAGCCATATTTGTTGAAAGAAAAAACAAATTAATATTTTTTTTTAGATTCTAAGGGGGAAAAAAATTTATTGAGGATTTTTAATATCTATTTTTAAGCGTATTTTGAATTTTTTGAATATTAGAACTTTTGGTAACATAATCCAAAATACTTTTTTATACGCCTGTTGAGTTTAGTAAGCTTTCATATAAATAAAATGTTAGTTTAATTGATTTATATTTTGTTGCTGATTAAAAACTTTATTATACAATTTGTCAAATTACGATAAAAGATTAGTATATATTACAGCAAGTAAAGTATAGGGGATATTTTTTTTTTTAAATATGTTTAGTTAAAACTTAATGTTGATAACAATTATAATATAGATGATGATTATACATAAAAAATATAAATTTTTATATAATCGGCCTTATAACCGAATAAAAACATTTAAAATATAGATTGAAGAAGTCTTTTATTTAAAATCTGTGTATTTGGAATGGAATAAAAAAAAAATTTTTTTAAAAAACAAGATAGCATTCTGTTCGCGCATAAATATCTCAACTCAAATAGCTTTAAACATGAAATAAATTATAATAATTTTGTTTTCTTTCCTTCTTTATCATTTAATTTGAGATTTTTCATTTTTATATCTTTCGATAAATTGTCAACCCATGACAAAAAACAATTAATAGGCTTTCAGAATATTCAAAACTTTTGCTATATCGATCATGGGCTTTTCCCTATCTTCTTATTTCCCATGAGTGTTTAAATAGGTGACCTTGCCTTTTTCACGCACAAATAACTGCAGCCTGCCCAAAAACTGTGGCTGAGCTTTTCTCGTAGATTAATCCCAATTTCTTAACCCAATCATATAGGGGTGAGAGAATCCAATGGATATGCTGTTTTATGCTGTGAAAATTGCTCTGTACTTACAAATGACGTATGACGGGGATATAGAATCCATTGGGATTCAAAATTTCTTAATTTTATATCAGCTTACTGAGGACGATTTTTGAAAAAAGATCTAATTTGACCGGAAATGTATTCTAACATGTGTGGAATATCTACCCTATAAATTTCGCACCATTTCTCCCTTAAATATTTTTGTATTTCTTTATTTTAGATGAAAAATCTATATGAAAACGGATATAAATTGATAGTATTTCGACAGTTCAAGAACAAAATTATCTGAAATTCACGGAGTGGGTACTCTATACATTTTTGGAATACATTCTCTGTCAAATCAGGTTTTGCAGATTTAAAGAATCCCTCTTAGGAATCAATTTAGAATGAGAGAATCGGCATCCCATTGATTACCATATCCCAATTAATTTAAACATTTATTTATAACTGTGATAACCAGTGATTTAAATCGATTTGAGCCGATTTTTAAAAACAGCTAAAACAATATTTTAACCAGAAAAATATTGCCTAACCCTCGAGATTACTTGTAGATGTTCAAATCTTTGTGCCACCCATGAGTCTAATCAGGTTTGATAATATTTTTTTGGATAAAATATTGGATGGCCGTTTATCTGTTTAAATCGAGCCGTTTAACAAATACTAGCTTATATTTGATTTGATACTGGTTAATACTTTATTATTTACAATTTTTCGAATTCTTTTTATTTTTGGCTAAGTAAAAAATTTATATTAAAATTTTGTTTGTTTTTTTTTATTGCTCGATTTTTTTTTTAAATTATGTATAAATTTTTTTTTATTGAAGAAAATGAATATATGATCTTACAGAGAAATTATTCATGAAAATACAAAATACTTCCATTTCAAACAAAGGATTATTAATATTAATATTATACAATTTCATTTTTATTTTTGAATTATTTATCAATTCAATTCGGGTTTGATCAAAATTTTTGAAAAATTCAAATTAAAAAAGCTTTTGATAAAATAATAATAATAAAATAATAATTACTGTTTTAATTTTTATTTCCGTATATTTTAAAAAATTTATCGCAAAAAATACCGTATTATTTCAGGCAACCAGAAATTTAAAAAGCGAAAGGGAACAAATCTTAGGCCTATGTCCTAGCGATCAATTAAAATTGAGCGATTTTATTAGAAAAAATATTTTTTTATAAATCCCTTTTATACATAGGATTACTTAGTTTTTTTTTAGAAAATTATTTTTCATAGTTCGCTAAGGGGCGTAGGCCGAAGGTATTTGAGCGTTGTTTAATAAGTTGCTATATATTTTACTATAAAATATAGAAATTCGAAATAAATTTGTACCGATTAGATTAGTTATAAAGATTTTTACTTTCCCCATCGATTATTTTTTTTGTACATATTTAATAATTTGCAAAATGATATATATATAATAATTTTCAGTTAAAACTGGGTTTTTTTTTGAAAGTCTTAAACCAAAAAATATCATTACTCAAATTTTTGTATATTATAATTATAAACTGATTTGAAAGAATTATTATATAATTTTTATCTTTCTTTTTTTTTTAAAAAAAAAGGATTAATAAATATAAATATTTTGAGAATATAAAATATATGTATGTTGTTATAATATTTTTAAAAAAAGTCTGTATAATCCCCCAAAAAAGTTTTAAAAAAAGGATTATTCGAGAATATGAAACCAGGCCTTAGGATGGACTATGAAATTAAATTTAATTGGATTTGTTAAATATGAAAATGGAAGGGAAATAATTGGACTATAATTTGCAAAAAAAATTATTTAACAATGTAATATGAAAAAAAATTAAATATGAACCGTCATTACGTTGTTGCTTGATTAATTATGATATACCTTTCATTCATTCATAGTTAACGCGAATCTTTTTTTTAGATAATCGTTCAGCTCGGCTAAACTGAGGGAAATTTTTTAATTGAATGAAATATTTTAAATTAAACAAGTATCCGAAGTAAGGACTTAGGAGTAGGAATAAAAGGTTAGAGAGATATGGGTTTTGGGGTTAATTTGAGAGATATGTTAGGGTTTCTAATTTTTTTTATTAATAAACTGGTCAAATCTGACTGTTCACGTGATTATAACTAAGCGAATATAGGTTTAAATAAATCCGCTGTTATTATCCTAAATCGCTCCATTTGAGCCGATTTATAAAAACGGCTTATTCAGTATTTACGCCAAAAAAATATTGCCTAGGCCTCAAGATTTCTCTAATAGATGTCCAATCCTTTGTGGCAAAATCTTCGGGGTTCGCGTAATATTTGAAATATTGAGTTAGCTGGTTAAAAATCGGCCCAGTGCGATTTTGCATCTCTAACTGTGGGTTGGACCATAATCCTGTTTTATGCCTTTTTTATAAATTATATTAATATTGATCTAGCTGTTGTAACTGCCATTTCCTTGAATAGGATCAATCCTTTTTTATACCTTTTCTTTATAGAATTATATTAATATTCGTCCAACTGTTGTAACGGCTATTATTTCGAGTTGTCCATTCCTCTTTTTATAAATTATATTAATATTTGTACTAAAATCCTTCTCGGACAGTCGGACAGTTCGGTTCTAAATGAGAGATTATTTACCCGGAACAAAATTTTAAGAAATCGACCTGAAACCCAATTAAAAGAATTCTTTTTTTAAAAAATTAATTTCCTAAAACTTCAATTTCAAAATTTAAACATTTGTTAATGGTGAGTTTCTTTTTCATATTATTTTAGTTTTAAAATTTTTTTTTACTACACTTTCATTCATATTTTTAAATTTATTCAAATTTAATTACCGCATTTCAAAATTAATTGTATAAAGCCTTACATATTATTAAAATGTTTTGGATTGACAGACGGCTAAAAAAAAACTCAGAAAAAATCAGACTGGCATGAAAAGATAATTTTTTTAAAAAATGTCGGGCCAAAATTCTCCGATGCAGTATTAAAACAAATCTTCGGGTTTATGAATCGTTTTTCTCTGATCTAGCGTTTCCGATGTTATTAAAATATCTAGTTAAGGGAAATTTAATTTTTTAAAATTCATTTAGAGAAATACACAAATTTCTTTTGAGAATGATTTAAGTTTACCCCTATATTTTTCTTCAATATTTTCTTTCATCAATGAATAAAAATTTAATCTAAGTATAAAAAAAAAGACTTTTAGTGATCTGGTAAAAACTTTTTTGAAATGTCACGATTTTTCCCTATTCATTTTTTTTTTATTTATATAAATCTATAATAATCTTATTAATTTATTATAATTTGGTGGACGTACACAAGTAAAATATAATTTTAACTGGCATTGAAAATTTTGCTTATATGGCCATACATATGGATATAAACCACAACTATCATATTCATGCCATACATAAACCATAATATAGTATAATCTTTATTATCGATTTTCATATATCATTAGTATTAAATAATAAAATACATCAAATTATTCAACATTTAGAATGCTCAACTATGAAGGAGGATGTATGATAAACTATTCTATGAACCCGTTCTCATTGTATGACAGAAAGACAAAATTACTAAATTTAACATTACTCATCATAAATCTTAAAGGCATGACCTCCAAAATACCTCTCCTTCTAACCAGTGCGAATTTATCTTTGAACAATATATTTAATCTTCCTGAAACGACAGACGACACAAACGAATACCTTCCTTACAGTCTTCGCCCCGAAACATACATAGTTCCTGTGATATTTGCGATCATATTTTTTGTCGGTATTATTGGAAACGGTCTGCTCATATACGTGGTCTTAACTCACAAATCTCTACGCAACAACGCTCCAAACCTTTATATTCTAAATTTGTCCTTCGGCGATTTTGCCCTCATATTGATATCCGTGCCTTTCACTAGTACCATATATACCTTCGAAAGTTGGCCTTACGGGGAAGGTCTCTGTAAGAGTACCGAATTTTTTAGAACCCTATCGGTAGCCATATCTGTTTACACGTTGACAGCCCTTAGCGCTGATAGGTATCAAGCCATAGTAGATCCTCTAGGAAGATATGTGGGAGGAAAGAAAATTATCATACGGAGAACTCTCTTCATATGCGGTTGTATATGGGTTGTTGCAACTTTTTTAGCTTGTATCGACGCTACCAATTCGTTTGTTCTGATCATCAATCACGATGGCAGTGAAGAGGTGTATGATAATGCAAGTAGGGCTAATGGAACAATTTTAAAAACGGTTTTTCTTAACGCTTTTAATCTTTATAACTCCTCAACCCATAATTTAAATACTAAATTAAACATGACAGATTTTGTAAGCATGCTATCCCATAATAATTTTTATCCAGTTTTTGATGCCAGAGATGATTATAATTCATACCTTTCTAAAAACATTTCATTTATTGTATCAAAAATCAATAATCATACGCTGGAGGCTATTTTCAACAAACTGTGGTCCCTAAAAAATACGGAAAGGAATCATATTAACGATACTGCCACATCCTCGCTTAAAGTATGCTTTCCGTTCCCCGAAAGATTCGGAGAAAATTACAAAAAACTTCATACCTTATTTAAATTTTTATTGTTTTTACTTATTCCGTTTATTATTATAACTGTGTATTATGTATTAATGGCCAAACGATTAATTAAAAGTACCACAGACATTCCCAACGAATCTAGCCATTCTCAGGAGGTAAAGGATAATTCCTTTTCCCGCAATTTTAATAATTCAAATTCATATCTTAAACAAAGTAAATCTTGTGTTCCTATATTATCTCAGTTTTCGATTTCAAATGCATCCATAGACTGTTCGACCGATTACAATACTATGGATAAACTGCCTTGCGAAAAGGAAAAGGATAAGGATGTAGAAGATGTTCATTTATTAACCTTACCTGCAAACCATAATATGTATAATAATGACAAATGTGGCAATGATCAAAGTTTTAATTTATTAACGAATTTAGTTACTTCCCCCTTGCTAAACGGGCCTGATAAAAGTAATATGAAACTTTCTAACGATAAATTATATGTACCAAAAAATACAAAATGGAAGAGGTTTAACAATTCGATGAAGCCATATCGAGAATTTTGTAACAAATCTCTGAAGTTCAAAGACTACTTAAAAAGCTCTGGTCAAGAAAAATTGAACAACAACGAATCCATTTCACCGTCCCAAACAAGCGATGGCAATAACGATGTTGTAAGCTTCAATTCATTCAAAATAAATCGAATACGCCATATCAACAATAAGTTTTCGAACAATGTCAAGCTTAGCAAACAAATGGAGTCTCGCAAAAAAATTGCGAAAATGGTTCTAATTTTTATATTACTGTTTCTTGTATGTTGGCTACCTTATCACATATTTAACATGTGGTTCTTCTTCAATCCAAACGCCTTAAATCAATACAACTATTTTTGGCACTCCTTGAAATTACTCGGTTTCATATTTTCGTATTTGAATTCGTGTATAAATCCGATAGCTTTGTACTTTATCAGTAATACGTTTAAAAAATATTTCAATTATTATCTGACTTTGAAATTCTTACCATGTCATTACGTGAACGACAAGAAAAAAGCAGCATTTAGTAACGGGTTAAATCCTAAGCGCAATAAAGATTGGGATGAGGTATCTCAAAAAAGTAATCACTTATCCCGACTTAACCGAACTTTAACTTATTATGAACCGCGCATAAACAAATTAGATCAAAATGTGAGAAAGAACATCATTATTACATCCATCAATAATAAACCAACAATTCTTAACTCAAATCATAGTTTTCACGACCTTACTTGCGCAAAATCTAGGAGCAATACCTTCACTAAATTATAATCTTTTTTTTAATCCTATAAAAAAAAATCAGGAAAATTGTAGATCTCAAATAATTACAAAATTTATAACTTTTTTTAGAGCTAACATTACTATACTTTCAGCGAATATTAAATTATTTATACATTATAAATGACAATTCGAAAAATCTAATAAATTCTTAAACCCACGTTTGAGAAACATGATTATGTATTAGCATGGATGGATGTATAATTTAACCATACCAAATATAAATGATGTGTTTGTCTATGTTATACACATAATTATAATATATTATAATATTATGTAAATGTTGTTTCTTTGTTTCTTCTTGGATAAAGCTTCAACGAAAGAATAAAATTTTTATAGTTTACCAAAAATAACCATAATTTTCTTATTGAAATTAAATTATATATTTTTAAAAAATATATATTTGGCTAAAATGAAGAATTTAAAGCTATATGAAGTACAAATGTTGAAAATTGAGATCAATCATAGTTGATGTATAAAAAAATTTTTAACTTAAACTTTTCAACTTTATTAATAAGGTTTTTTTTTTTATTCTTATTGATATCAGATAGTTTCATGCCATTGAAATAATCTCTGCTACTACATCAACATTTGTATTATTGTTTAAAAATTAATGATATCAAATATCGATATCGAAATTTTGAATTCCAATAAGAAAGAAATAAATCTAGTTAAGTTTTATTGTGAATTATATTTACAGTTTTATTATAGTTCTGTCTTATTAACCTTCAGATGTGCTAACATGTTTTATTAATTACTTTGTGTATTTAGGATGAAAAAAAACAGATTGTACTTTTTTTGCATAATTAAAGAATTAAAGTATTTGAATATTTATGGAAAAAATTGTGATAAAACATAGATAATTTTTTTTAAATTTGGTAAAATTAAGATTTAAAAAAAAATAAAATATGGAAATTAACTCAATAAAATCTAAAAAGATGTATTATCAATTTAATCATGTTTCTTTATAATAAAATCAACTTATTAGGTTAAGTAGTGCAATTACTTTTTTAAAGTCTATAATAACAATGGTTCATTTATTTTCTAAAAAATAGCTAACGAACCATAACACATATTTTTATGCCAATTTTACATTCGGCTTTCATATGCATGAAGAAATCACTAAGAATATAATTTTTTTAATAGGAAGTGCATGTTAGTTTTAAGATAAGTATTCAGGGATGGCTTAAAATTTTTCGGCCTTGCTGGATAAAATTTTTTTAAATTAAATAAAGAATACAAAAATTATATTTATATAGTTTTTATAGTTTATTATTATTAACAAAATATTTTTGTGTTCCTAACGGATATTCTATACTTGAAGTAAACCTTAATATTTCCATTAAAAAGAATTGTAGTTTATAGTTCAGTTTTTATTTTTTTACTATTTCAAAGCAATATATTTTTGTGAAAATTACCTTTAATTATGAATGTAACTTTATTAAATATAAAAGTATTTTATGTTAAGAATATGAAATCAAAGATAAATAATATAATTAATAATAAAAATATTTTATTGATTAACCGTCATCGTCAGTTGGGGTTGGATGATAAGTATGTAGATCCAATAATACTGTGAGTTGGTGTACTTCTAGTTGTCTTGATTCTGTAGAAAATTGTATAATTGTAATCGTTAATAGTTAGAGGAAAAGTGGTTAGAGTAGTTCGTGTAGTTCTAATTATCCCCTAAGTTGCAGTTCTAATTATCCCCTAAGTTGCAGTTCTAGTTGTCTGCAAGTTGGTGTCTTGCTTTTATTTTTATGGATTGATTGTTAATTATCAACATTATAAAGCTCAAATGGTAAGCATACAATATTTTATAAGTAATACTGTTTCTTATTAATTTTACTATATAAGCTTTGATTTTTTTTTATATTACAGGATATGTTAAATACAATTATCAATGGTATGACTTGGATGCAATTTATTTTTTATCTTTAGCTCTCTATTATAGTTATTTCTGATGTATATAATAGGTTATTTTTAGAATAATAAAATATTTTAGTTTGAGTGTATTATATTATTTTAGTAGAAGTTCAAAATTATTATCATTATAGCCAGCGTCTACAAGACAGTATATTTACTGGATGCAAACCCACCTCAAAAACCTATACTTACCTTCCTAAAAAATTAATGGCACTCCTTTCATATTTATCAATATTCTATTACCAACTATAAAAAAACGTAAAAGTTATTATTTAGAACATAAATAATTTTTTTAAAAACCCTTATTTATAGTGAATGCATTGTATTATTTTATTATATTTGGCATGGATATGGATTCACTGATAGAATGACTAACCTTTTTAAACTACATTTGAAAATATAAGCAAAATCCATAAATAAGCTTTATTTGAAAGATTATGATTGTATGTATTAGATAAATTTGGTCATTGTTTAGCTGATAATAGGTCTATAATAAAAATATAAAATAATTTTTTACAGCAATATATGTTGCCCTATTGCATCTAAAAATTTAATAAATAACCCCTCAATTTATACTGCCTCACATCTAACTAGTCTACCTTAAATGTCTACCCTCTATCAGCCTTCGAAAAAATTGGAAGCAAACATTTAACCATGTGCTGTATGTGATTTTATGCCTCCTCCTCATATGACTGTTGAATGTACTCACTATTGGCTCGACTTAGTCATTCGAATTAAGATCGGGGATGTAATGCGTGGGGGAGGGGGGGGAGGGGGGGTACAGGCTAAGCTCCTAGCTATTTCTTTAGCCCCCCTTTTAAATTTTGAGGTGGGGCTAACCACTCATCCCCCCCCCAGCCACATTTTTAAATATTTTTTTAAAAGTGTAAAATTATTGTTATAAAAATTATATAGTAAAAAATCATTTTCTTATTTTTATTTATAGCCATCCACTGCTTCTACTTTATTTAAAATATAGAATGAGGTTCACCATTAATAAGTAATAGTGATAAATAGCTCTATTTATAGCCAGTTTTGAGCCAACTCTAAAAATGTTAAACTTAATTTTTTAAGCGTAAACAATCATTTTAGCCTCGATCTAGGTCTAAACCTGTTATATTGTGGAAATAATTTAAATAAAATCACTCGAGGTGATAATGAAATATTTTATGTAAAAGTAAAATCGATTTAAATGTAAAAGTAAAGATCAATTTAAAGGTAAAAAGTTAAAAATGATTTATAACGACAAATTATATTTGAAATACATATCTGTAGGATATTGATATATTATAATTTTTTTGTATATATTGTTATGTTTTTTTGTTATATATAGTTTTTGAAATTTATATGTTATAATAATAAAAAAGATAAATTAAATTTGTGTGTTTTAGATGTTTAAAATATGTGTTAACTTAAAATTATAAAATCTTATCCTAATCACCTATCCGAGAAATCCTAGAATTCTATATGGTGGCAGCGGAGGGATCCACGATTTTAAATAAAATTAATTTATTTTCAAAAAAAAATAATAAAATATAAAGATCAAATGGATCAATCAACTATGAGGAGAATTGTTAAGCTAGACATCAAACTACGGAGCTATCATGGACAAAATATTATGGAAATGGATTCTTAAAGATCATATTTAATAAATTCTAAAACATGTAAGAGATATAAAATAAATATGACATATAAATATAAAAACTTAAAGTAAATTAAAATAAATTAAAATAAAATTAATCAATATGGACTATCCAAAATATGATAATGATGTAAATATATAAATGAATTGGAGAAATTTTTTTTGATATATGAAGTTGAAAATAGTGCTAAGGTATTGCTTCAAAATCTTCCAGAAGGTCTATATTTGGAGATGGACGTATTAATGGAAGCAATAAGGTTTCCAACAGGGAAAGATGCAACTTTTGAGAAAACTATGACAATATTAAAATATTTATCTGGCTATAAGGCAGAAAAGGAGATAAAAGAAACACCTAAATTACATCATAATTATTTAAATGATAAAGTGCAAACCAAAAGTTATAGGAATAATTATAATAATCATTATGAGTGTAAAAATTGTTACGAAAGACATTACAATAATAAGGAATATAATAATTATGCGAGATTTAACAATAGAAATAATAATCATAATATCAATTACAATCAGTATCGATATAATAATGATAATAATTATAAATATAATAGTATAAAAAATAATGAAGTAAAAGTAAAAAAACCAATCAATGTATTGAAGTAAAAAAAACAATAGTGAAGGATAAGCCAATTGATGTAGAAGTAGTATATAGTTCTTTATTTCGTAGTGATATTAATAGTAAGTCGTATGAAGAGTGGAAAACGACTAATGAATTTAACAAGAGACAATTTTATAGAATTAACGCAGAAAAAGTAGACATTTATAAAACAAAAATTGTAGAAAAGTTAGATATTAATACTAAAAATTTTGAAATTACGTCGGTAAAAATATTAAAAAATGATATAGTAGAAACGTTTATATGTAGTTATATTAATCACATAGTAAAATTTGAAGAAATAATAATAAAAGAGAAAAAATGTGATAATATAAATAATTTAATTAATATTGATAAAGATTCTAGGAAATGCAGAAATTTAAAAAAAGTGAAAAATATTACGTGTAAAAGTAGGAATAATGTTAAAAGAAATAGGAGTAGTGTTAGGAGAAAGGATGACAAAATTAAAATTGAACATATAAAAGAATTCTTAATGAAGGAGAGAATAAAATTGTTGAGAATAAAATTTATTTTTAAAAGTTTGAAATTTGATTTTAAGAAAATTTTTATAAAAAAATTTATTAAACTAAAGAATAAGAGTTAAATTCAAATTAAAATAATAAGAATAAAAAAAGTACGTAATATAAAATTTATATTACTTCATGGATTAAAATTATTAATATAACATGTAATTTAATACTAATATAAAAAATTTAAACAATACTAAAACGGATTCTATTATTAACATTTTATGATGATTCTTATATTCTTATATTCGATTGGATCGATTCTTATTATTCCTAATTATTCTTGATTGACTAATAATAATGATAATAATAACGATGGAGGGCAAACGAGCAAACAAACAAACAACAAAGAGACGAAACGATCAAAACAAACCAACGTAATGAAAACAAGCTAACGATAAAACGTGACAAAAGCAAGACAACGATAAAAGATGAAATCAACAATTACTTATGCAACAATAAAAAAAAAATAGCGAAA